GTAGAATGACTTACCTAAAAAATATCAAAGCCTCTTATTTCTGTGAATAAAAAGCACTCTCCTAAATTCTTCTTTGTATTTATCATTTGTCTGGACAGCTGCTGTGTCTGATAAATGCTTCTCATTCCAACTAGTATAGCCTCTTTAAGCTACTGAAGAGGTAGCTAAGATATCCTCAGCCCTTTCATATAAAGGTTGTGATCTTGATTCTAAAAGACCTGACAGCACCTAAAATATTCGAAATCAAAATCATTCTGCAAAAACATTTCTAAGCAAACTGGTTCTTGAGGAAAAAGCATGTTTCTCTCTTCAACCTTAATATGCATTCAAGGAAGTGCTCACATTTTGCACAAATGAAGACATAGAGACAAGCTCTCATCCACCTCTCAGAGGCAATATAGATCCCTTATACATCTGTCTGGACTCTTTGTTTGATGCTCCACAAAAACATCTATTTTCACTTAAATGCTCTTGAGATCCTTATCTACCTGGGAAATGTCTAAATTCTACATAAGTATCCAACTCTCGCTGTCAAAAAACCCGCAACTAGTGACTTGCTGATGATTATCCTACCCATCTTTATCCTAGTAGTTAAGGCACTTGCTTAGAGATTGAGATCAAGGTGCTGGGCCCTTTGCAGGCTACAGGGATCTGAGGTCACTGTCCAGTGCCCTAACCATGAGGCCATGGATTACATAGGGACAAGAGCATGCTCTACCTTTCTGACTTAATCTGGTCCAATGAGCACTCAAGGTGGAACAACTCATGATGGCAGAGTGAGAACATGCGAGTAGGAGTATGACAATGTGGTACAGTGAGAAGAACACTAGTCCAGGACTGAGGGAGACCTAGGCTCTGGCCTGTGTTTTCAATGCTCTTTTTGTACCTTAGCCAAAACAAAATGTAGAAAAAGCATTGGGAGCAGAGGTAGCCAGAGCCCTCTTCACTGGGCCAGTCTCACACACCTTTCTCTACCAATGTTTCCATTGCAATGCAGTGGCTTTATTGTCACTACTGCAACAAAGGCAGCATTTAAATGCCTCTAGTGACAACATTTTAAATCTCCAAAGTGATTTAGAAACAACAATTAATCACATTCATTAATAGCATTCTCAGAGTACTTTGCTATTCATCTGCAGCTGCAGAATTTCACTAATTCAAAGCAATTATTGGAAACACAGAGAGAAAAATAACTTTGCCTTTTCTCAAGTAGTGGACAAACATAATAAAAGGCCAGGATAATAAATCACAGAAATGCACTTCATTAATTTACTTTGACAGCTGCAGTTTAGACTTAATCATTTATGAAATACTCTATAATGGACTTGCAATGTGCTAATGAAGTCAGTAATATAAGATATTACTATCACACTTAGTCATTAAACTTTAATGCAAAAGGGATCTGCTGTGGACTTCTACATATGAAAAGCAGGAATCAATCTGAACCCTTTTCTGATTGTAGCATGCATCTTTCCGTTCAGATCTGGATAGGTGAGAAATTTGTAGTGCTGCTCTGGAAATTACAGAAGCTAGGGAAGTGAAGGCATGACATTAATTTTTTTTCTCATCAAGTTTACCCATCTTTTAGCACCTAGAGACCTCAGAGATAGAATACACTAGAGTAGAAAATAAAATTAAATGAAGCAGACAGCTAGGTTAAGTTGTGTGGCTTTGAGTCTGACTGTATAGTTTAATACTATGCTTTGCGGATTTGCTTCCAATAATGTGCATTTACCCAATACATGATCTTTTTTGAGGGGGCTTGTGAGTGCATGCATGCGTGTCTATTGGCACCTACTAAAGTATCAGAATAGTCCATGTTCAATTCATGGATTTCAGTTCAATGAGCAGGGGCTGTTTTGGTAAGTAGCATCCTCTACATATTTCAGCATCTGAAGGTTCATTCCAGCACATAGCCATGGTGTTCCTGAGTTTTTGAATTGAACAGCACCCCATGCAGAAAGTCATGGGGACTCTACCAGATGCAGTGCTTTATTTAGGCAAAAGCAGTCTTGTAATCTGTCATTTCCCAGCTGATTTGAAAGCTCTGGCTGGAGCCTTTGCATTATCTGTTTGACAATGATTTGATGCAACACCACATTGGGGTATAAATTAGTGTCAAGAAGCAAAATGTTAATGATAGGGGCCCCTCCATGCACTGGTGACTTAAATAGCATGTTTCTTTAAAAATTCAACAATGAGTCACTCCCTTTTAAATTACAATCCCTCTGTGCTATTTAAATGTGTCCTGTAGCTCTGGTGCATATTTTCTTGGATTCTGACTATACTTCATTGTTGATCTGAATGACTATCCAGAAAAGCCATTGAACACAGTTGCTATGTATTCTCTGAAGCATCTTCTGTATACATGGTTTAATATGACAAATCTTTGAACCCAATATAATAGTCAAGTTATGAGTCATAAAATGGTCATGAGTCTACTTACTTGTGCAGCACAGTGGGAAAAAATAAGGTTGAAAACCATTTTTTGTTTTCATTCAGAGATGACTTCAGACTTATCTGAGCCCATGAGTGGCATAAATTCCTCCATTTCGCCCGTAAATTTAATATTACAATATTTCATGCAACAACAAAAAAAAGAATAAAATGTCTAGGGGTGATGGATTGGTTCTTGGAATTACTGGGTCAAATCTGATGGAATAAATATCTCTCTGTTGGGATATAATTTGTTGGAACTATCCTAGTTTAGATTAGTTGACACCCAATATATTTAGCGATAGGATCATGGGAACGTAGGGTTTTCCTCACAAGGCCATCTAGTCCACCTTCCTGCTCATGACAAGATCATCTCTGACTAAACTATTCCAGCCAAGTGTCTGTCTAATCTGCTCTTGAAAACTTTCAAGGATGGAGCTCTGTGTAGTGGCAGTATCATAGCCTGTTAAGTTGAACTGAGCCATGATCTTTCTAAACATCTACGTGCACTGCTCACAAATGTAAACAAATGCATCAGAGATAAAGGACATCTTTTCTTTTGGAATTTAATTAAATGGACTTGCTGTTTATTTCTGCTCTACTATATATCAGCTTTTTGTGATATAGGCCAAATCAGATATTGAAATATAATAACTCTGCACTATATTCTTCATTCAGGCTCATATGTATATTGCACTTTGGGTCCAGAGCCAAACACATGTCCAACAGTGTACTAGAAAGTCAATAAACAAATGAATAAAAATAAAATATTATTGGTTTACTGTTATAATTATGATAATATTATAAGATCACTATCTAAACTAAACTTAGCTTTCACAAGCCACTCCTCCACCTGAATCCATCCAAAGACAAGATCTTCCACCAAACTACCCACCTTTCACTCTCTCCTGCCAAGAAATAGATGGGAGAGCACATATACCTTGCAGTGTGACGTGAAGCCAAATCATTTTGGACTTTAAGTATCCGAAATAGAGAGAATGTTTCACAGAGCAGTATCTTACATGAAGAACATCCAACCCCAGCCACTTCATGAATGAATTTAGGGGCCTCTAGCCCAGGCATCTCTAATGATCTCAACCAATGGTGAAAGAGATGGTACTTGAAGCAGCCGTCGCTGAGCATATTCAAGTTTCACAGCTTAAAAATTAACACCTGTAATGGCACCAGAAATTAACTGGAATCCAGCACTGGTTGAAAAGTACTTGTTTAACATATTCCCTGTGAAAAATACCCTTAATGAGTAAACATTTGGAGTGATCTTAAGGAATAACCTCCCACAGAGTATACTGAAGTAACTGAGGTGACAAAAGCATGGATTCCTTTGGCAAAGTCTGTATTCCCTTGCATCAGACATAAGTAAAAAACAAAAAATCCTCCCCTCGCTCCTGCACACGACCATAAGTGTAATCTCTACATCAAGAAGCTAATGGAGAGGTATCTGAAAACATCTATTTATCAGCCCTAAGGTACATGAAATTATTTCAGTATGGAATGAAATTTAGTCCTCACTAGTTTCAATGTGATGCATATGCAACTAAGGAATGTTTTTTCCCCCTACAACTTTGTGTAGGTAGGATTCCTTCATATAAGAGTATTTAGCCATCTGAAATCAGTCCCTTATCAATTAAGCGGAGTCAAAATAACTAAGTGAGCCTTCAGTCTGGCTATACCCTTTCATATGCTGTTTCCAAGGCTAGTCCATATTCTTCTCTTAAAGGTCTCTTCCTGCTTCCAGTACTTGTATTCTTCTACCCTGGCCATACACATTGTGACTCATTTTCTGGATGACCATTACTTGTAAACATTGCATTGAGAACAGTATCTGGTCAATGGTAGAAGGACAGATGGGAGCAAGAGTGGAACCTGTTGACAGTAGGAATTGATATAGAATCTGGAGGATGGAAAAAAGGTATCAGAGAAAGAAGAGAAGAGAGACAAGGGTAAAGAGTAAAGGCAGGAAGGGTGAATAAGAGAAAGGAAAAGAAAGGAATGGAAGAGAAGAGTTATAATAGCAGAGTCACATGAAATAAACTCTTGGAGGCTTGAAAGTTTTCACTAATGACACAATTTGTATTGACTGCTTCACCTTGATTATAGTTTTAGTAGGGGTCTATTGTCATACTGCTGTGACTAGGTATAAATACAGTGCCAGTGGCTATGAAATCCACAAAAGAGAAAAAGATTTCAAAAGCACATGTTCAGAAAAAGACAATTATTTATATTTCTTGCATTTTAAAGATCGCTCCCCTCCCTATGCCGTAAGTGCAACTGTCACAGCTAGTGTTTCAAGCCTATTAATTATACATTGTTTATATGATGCTCATTGCTTTAAATATTCTTCACACACAGGCAGTCTTTTGGCTGAAAAGGACCTCACCTAAAATTGTTGCAACTGTGGGAGCACTGATTTACTCATAAGGGAAAAACATCCCAGTACAGAGGTGAAGTAAATTAAATTGGCTTCGACTGTCCTTTCCACTTATATTATTTCATGCTCAGAAGTATATAATTGCTCCAAATATTCATATATTAGCAAACTTTACCTAAGTGTTTCACCAGATGATCCCCTTCTTTTCCACAGGTTCACCAGGCTACTGGAGCGGCTTGCAGCAGAAGATGACTTTCCATCACCAACGTGCATGCGAACCACGGTGGATGTGGTGAATGCGCTGCGTACGTTTCTTTCAGGCTTAGCAAGGATGATGTACACCTTGGGCACAAACATGCAGCCCAAGGCCACGGTGGCGCTCAAGCTGACTGAGAAACACATGGTGATTATCTTGTAGTTGCTCCCAAAATATATTGGCACAAAAGCCAGCCAAATGATGCAGGTGGTATACATTGTAAAGGCAATATATTTAGCTTCATTGAAATTAGCTGGGACATTTCTTGTCTTAAATGCGTAAAAGGTGCAACTTAAAATTAACAATCCATTGTATCCAAGGGGAGTTACAACACCTAGATTGGTGGTGTTACAAATCAAATAAACCTCTCGGATGCTTGGGTAATCGTGCATTATATCTGGAGGTTCCATTATGAAAAGGGCAACAATTATGCTTAGCTGTATACAAATTAAGATAAATGCAATCACCAGCTGGGCACAGGCACTCATGAACCTAGGTTTCTTAGTACAGATTTTCTTCTTGCTGCCAGCCAGGATTCTTGCAATGCGATTGGTTTTAGTCACTAGGGCAGAATAACTCATAGCCGGGGAGAGACCAATGCCAATCCTTTGAAGGTAACAATAAATCTGCTGAGGCTTTGCAATGAGACAGAAGGTGCACAAGTAACCCAGGCATATGCCAGCTAGAATAATGTAGCAGAGTTCTCGGCTGGATGACTTGACCACTGGCGTATCACGGTACATGATGAATATAGCTGTAACAAACAGCGTGGCCAGCAGACCCAGACAGGCAAAAACAACTGCTGCAATTGGTTCGGGATCACCCCATCTGAGATACTGGACTGGGATGAGGATACAACCTGTTTAGAGAGAAAATTTAGCAAGTTTAATATATTGAGTGAAGTCATTTGATTTGTCAAGTTACAATTTATTTTCTATTTTTACCGTATTTTCTCTTTCTGGGCATTCTTGGAGACCTGTGTAGTACAGTGGAGCAATGCTAAGAGGATACTATACAGTGGCACAGAGGACATTTTCCAGTGAAGTTTTAGTTAACACAGATAATCTGATCTGAACTCAAATGATGTCTGCAAAAAGTGGCTACTCCAAATAGACGCGTAGGCTAGGATTTTTTAAATCACTTAGCATCAGCCTAAATAACTTGACTACTCAGCTTGTGCAAATCTCACCTACAGTCCCATTATGTGTTTCATTTTTTAAATGTTTGATTAAAATCATTTCTGAGAAAGTTGCACAGTCAAATTACAAAGAGAATTGCTTTATTGTCCGCCATAGTTCAGAACTTCTGTCCTGCTTGTTATGTTACATTCTACAAAGAATGACATTACTTCTGGTTCTGGAAATAGACAAGGAATTTCTCTTTCCATGTCGGGAGCACAAAACAGAAATAATCTGCCTATGTAAGGTCATAGGGGTTGCATGATGGACTGAGGAGATGTTCATCTAAGCCTAGAGAATGCTTAAGGGTGGGGAGGAAACCGAGGTAGAGAAATACCTTGTTATTGTTTTGTCTGCGCTACTTGTGCTAGCTAAAGTAAAAGTAATTGTTTTTGGGGTCCCTTTGGGACCAGTACATACATGTAATGGTTTTCATACCAAATGAATCAATGAAGATATGTCAGCATACACACACACACACACACACACACACACACACACACACACGCATATGTCATAAATCTGGCCATCTCTGCGGTTCTTCTAAATCAGGGGTGTCAGACTCACTTGGGGCCCCAGACTGGATCTGGGGCTCCTTGCAGGCTGGATACAACCTTGGGTATGAGGACTGCCAGCAGTGGCACAAGGTTCAGTGGAGGTGGGGATGGAGATACTGTAGGGTCCAGCAGAGGTGGTGTAAGGTCCTGCAAGGGTCAAAGTGCAGGGTCCAGTGGCAGGAGGTGTGATTGTGAGATCAGACACCAGATACCATCATGCCATGTTGTTAGTGCATGATCAGGATCCTGGGCTCTCCCTGCACTGGCAAGAAGCAAGCTTCTGCCTCTGGCAGCCCTGATTAGCTGTTGGGACTCTCAGCTGCAGAGGCACACCATGTGCTCCTGTTGCTGGGAGATCTGTCAGCTGATCTGGGATCCCAGCCATGAGGGTGCATCATGGCTAGGGATAGACATTACACATAAACCAGTTTAAGTGATCAGAAACTGATTTAAACCTGTAATAAAGCATAAACTTGGGCATGCATTCCATTAATAGCATGGTACAAACCAGCCACAAAGTTATTACACATATTTTGTGTAATAACTTCCAGGATAATTCCTTGTTTTATCATGTCATTAATCACAATAACATGTGGCTGATAACCATTTAAGATGCAATTAACTGGTTAGTTATGCCTTAAGAGTAATGTATGCCTTAATAGTAAGGGCCCTAAAAGGCATGCATCTATCCTGCCTTCTGCATGTTAAATTTTTAATCCAGATATAGTCTAAGAAGAGAAAGAGAAGAAACAGGTATGACTGCCACTCCAAATGATCCTGTTGAAAGGACCTGCTTAAAGGACTGATATGGATATATGACCCCAAGTTAAAGAGACAACTTGTTTTTTAAATTTGCAAGACTTTTCTCAGTCTTGCAAAACTAGTCCATATTTCAAAGCTCTAATTATCATCCACCTGAATGAAGTTAGACTACATTTTAGATATATTTTGCAAATATTATCTCCTCATTGGGCTTCTAGCTGCTGAATCCTTTACAATGAATTTAATAACACCATCATGTTTGAAATTACAAAACAATCCCTTGACAAGTATATGTTTTAAATGTATATTTTATATTACAGAAAAAAAATATTTGTCATTGTTTTGTTCTATTTGATTGGGCTAGTTGTAAAGAAGCATCAGATTTGACTCAATGAAATCTAGCTTCCCTAGCTCAACCAGGTTTCATGGACAACGTCTGTTTGGTCTGAGACATTGATAATCATCTAATAGTCAGCTATGCAGAGAGCTCGCCATTCGTATCTTCAGCAACTGAATCTGATGCTCTGCACTGCTGAAAATCAGGTTAAAGGCATCTCATGTTCATAGAATCATAGAATAGGGTTGGAAGGAATCTCACAAGGTCATCTAGGCCACTCTCCTGCTCAAGGCAGAGACATGATGCAGGATGTTGGACATGCAAAAATCAAGACACCTGAAATAACTACGAAATCTAAAAAAATGTGGACTTCAGCAACTTCTTGATTGGGAGTAAATGCAGCAGTCTAACTGCAGAGGGATATGTACAACTGCTCCAGTATAAGATGTACAACTCCTCTTTTACTACGTAGGAGAGCACATCAGCTCATTCTGTAACTGTTACATCTGTCTGCTTTTAATCTGCAGGCAGTGAAACTAAATGATAGTAATTTACTCCTGAATGAAACAGGGAGAAATTGTACTGCAGTTTATCTTCACTTACTGTTGGAAAGGCGAGGACATAATAAATTTGATTTAGCTGTATCACAATGAAGTCCTTTCTCTCCCCCCACCCCCTTTTTTTACATTGCACAAGTGTTTTGTTTTCCCCATGCCCTGGACTATAATTCAGATGTTCATATTTCCGAGGCCTGTCCTCTACCACTCAAACAAATACCTTTTTTTTTATCCTTTTCCATTATTTTCTGTGGATATTAATTGCCCCCCTGCCCCCTCCAAGCTGCTTCTTGCCAATATCACTTACATCCTTAAAAACATAAGATGTAAAGCTTTTAATAAGAGACCTTATTCCTCTCTACTTCCAGTGCACCTATACTTCCTCTCTACTTCCTGCACCTATACACAAATAGGTATCATAAAATATATAACTACCCATAATATGTTAGCAAAATCAAGAGGGTACATAACAAAGGTATCAGACAGTGTATCCTCTCTAAAATATCACAAGGTTTAGATCATCTAATCTTTGACATCAATACAGTTAACAAGACAGCGGGCAGGTGTTTTGGCATAACAAAATATGATGGTGCTTAGTAACTAAATGCAGACTAATCTGCTATTCATATTTTAACTGCCTTTACTTTTTATTGCAATAAGAAAGTTATTGCCATTTCATAGTGTATGGATCAATCTCATTAGCAGTAATAGAAACTATCTTCATGACTTCTAGGTGTTTTAATAAGAATATGCCTCTTAGTCTGTAGAGTTAGAGCATAGTTCTGATGTTTCTACTACTCAAGTTCACTGAGAACAACCACACATTGTGAAAAATACAAATGACACTATTTAGACTACTGATTCTGTAGCTCTACAGATCTTACTCCTTTTAATCTTCTGCATGGCTGTACAATGATTTCAACTGTGAGAAAAGCTTACAGATATGTCGCGTTGTCTATACGTCTGTTGAAGACAGAAATAATCATATTTATGCTTTAGGATACCCCAGGTATGTACATTAGGGCTGTGCAAAGCTTTGGGTGCTGATTTGATTCGGAGGAGATTCGGCCCAATTTGGTGACTGAATCTCCGAATCCAAATCGGATCAGGGGACCAGTTAAAAGGTCTGAATTGATTCAAAGCTGTCTGAATCTTCAGAAAACATTCGGAGAGCTTTGACAATTCAGGCAGTCCCCAGTGGCTGCAGCAGGGAGCTGCAGCTGACTCTGAGCTGGTAAGTACTAGGGGCAGGGGGGCAGGCCTAATCTGTGGGGTGATGCTGGGCAGGGGATGATCCCCGCTGCCTCCCACTGAGCCATGCTGCATGGGGGGGCTCTGTACAAGCCACCGGCCTCCGCTGCTCCCCCGGCCCCCCCACGGGTGCCCCGCCTGGGCCAGCTTGGTCCCTTTAAAAAAAAAAAAAAGCCGAGAAAAGCCCTGGGACTCACCGCTCCTGCAGCGGCCTCAGGGCTTCGAGGGACTGTGGAATAGTCTCCCATATGAGGGCAGTGGGGGGCAGTGGGGATTTCCCTCCACCAGCAGGAACAGTGAGTCCAGGGTTTTTTGGGTTTTTTTTTTCCTTAAAGGACTGGAGCTGGCCTGGGCGGGACATCTGTGGGGAGGCTGGAGGAACAGGGGGGGTCAGGGGGCTCATGCAGAGCCCCCCATGCAGTGTGGGGCAGTGGGAATCATCCCCTGCCTGGCAGCACCCGCTGAGCCGGGGTTTTTTCTTTAATAAGTGCTGGGAGCTGGGGCAGCCATTGCTTGGCTGGGAGAGGGGCAGGGGATGGGCCTGGCCTGGCTGATTCAGCTGAATTGAATTGGGACAGTGATTCGAATCACCGAATTGAATCACTGTCCCCCGAATTGGACGAATCCGAATCCGAAGCAAATACCAGCCACTTTGCACAGGCCTAATGTACATATACATACATATGTTCAACCATTCCCCAAAGGATTTTATGATATGATGAACTGTTTGTCCATCCTCAAGTTTAGCATAGGACCACCTAATGGATGTTTTTTATGAATAATTTCTTACTTGTTTATAATGCTACTATAGATTTTAGGAGCTGAAAACATTAGAAAGTGGTCTCTAGTTTGCAACTGGACTTTCTGCAAAGCATAACAAAGGAAAGATTGACTGGATGGATCCTAACTTTGTAACAGAGGTGACTCAGAGCCATGCATTCATCATCTGTTCCAGCCTATTTCACGCTTTTCAGGGTTTATTACTCTTTTCTGAATTCCCTTAATAAATGAAAACGTGGGCCATATTTTTCTCCTTCAGTGGCTATATATTATTAGGAGGGTTTTAAACTAGGTGCAATAATTTATCCTTTCATTAAGGTTTAAAGACTGAATATTTTTATGAAACCATGATCGATGAGTTAACATACATGCACATTTGCAGGTAATAGTTCCTGAGAATGGTACTTTCCAAGAGAGAATTGTATTGTATAGAATGG